ATAAATTATAGCTAAAAGATTAAAAACTCACTTGCTTTCTGAACTATTGGGTGTTTTTAAGAGGCAAAATAAATTAGATGTTTTATGAGAATTGTACTCTGATCTGAGTGACAAGAGCTTTACAGGGAATATCATATAATAGTCATTAGATCTTTCCAATACACCTGAAAGGCATATAACACCTACATGTGCATTGAGGGAGCTGTGTTTCATCTGAGTATGTTTGCTGATATATACTATAGTAACAGCACTAATACTAATCCTGATTTATGTGAATTTTAAATGAAAAGTTATTGTTGCTGAATTCTGTTGGTGATTATTTATTTTGTGATGCCTGAAAAGGAAAATGGACGAGTGTTGTGGCTCACAAGTGGAAGAACTTTACCAGATCACAGCTACCATTCAGTAGCTTCATAAAGTAAACACAAGGTGGTTATGGAATACTTTGAGCAGTAGCCAATGGCAATCTTCTGAAAGCTTTTAGTGTATGTGATGATGTGTATAAATAAATAAGTGTGTATGGTCCCAGGCACTCGTAGAAACATTACATGAAATCATTCATGAGTTTTGTATAACACGAATGGGTCAAGTATATAATGAACATAACTATTAAACCAAATATGACTAGAAACAGAGTATTTAATATGGATGCTAAGACTTTGCGATATGAGATTAACTGTGATTACTGGCCTGTAAGGTGCTATTTGAAGATGGGGTGAGCATATTATTTTTATTAATATTTGTGAGAGAGTGTTTCAATTTCGACATTTAAATAATTGTCAGTGTGTACATTTTCATAAAATGATAAGAGTAATGGAGAGACTCACACTATATTTGAATGAAAGCACAGTTTTATCTGTTGTTTTCCTGTAAAGATAGTTCCTGATAATTCGATTAGATCAAATCGAAATGTTTATGAATAGGTAAAATTATCAGTAGTATATGGAATTCACACATACTAGTTTAAATATCATAATAAATATAAACTTTGTGTAGCCAGTAATTAATCTTATTGGGATATAATATTTAGAGTCATGTAGATTGAAATATTTTGTAAAGTACACAGTTTTCTAAATATTTTGGAACATTTTGTTAGTATAAGATGCAGCATAAGAGATATGAAAATGCAGACTGTAAATGTACAGAGGGGGGGGGGTAGGAAGAAAGTAACGACCGCATGTGAAACTTCGTAAATTGCATAAAATGTACTACTAACTAGGTAGAGACAATGTAAATGATATTGGATTCTAATGGTCAAAATTAATGCTTCATGTCACCTAACCTTAGAGTCAGCATGTGTTAAGACTCCAGTTTCGCAATCTCAACCCCATTCTTTTCTTTTTATGCAACAACAAAATGGTACTGAAAGGAATGGATTTGGGTCAAATCTTAAACATGCTGGCCATTGTCATGAGAATCGCAACAGGGGCAACATGGCTGAGAAAATATTGTTCAAATGGATACCCAGTTTCATGAGCACTAGGGAAACATATTGTATTGGTTATTATAGAATGAACAGATGTGAACACTGTAGAAAATTCATTTGAGTAACATAATCCCTTTAATACTTAGCTTCTAGAGGTAGTTTTTAGCGGAGAGTAATGGTTGTAACTGGGGAGCTATGACCATTTTCCAAACGATACACCTGGCTGACCTTTAGGCCAATTTAAAATCATATGACCTTGTGTTTTTAATCTGGACTTTACTATTTAAGTTCAAGTTCTTGATCATTTTGCTATCCTGCTCTTCAGCTATCCAGAATTTCATTGTTTTGGGGGCAAAACCTCCTGTAGATTCTCTCATGGGAAAGAAGTTTGACGACTATAAGGCTACCTAGGACTTTATGTTTGGCAAGAAGCTGGACTTCACCACTGACACCTGAAACTGGCATGAACTTCGACCTTATAGAACCCATCAATGAAGATTTGTTGTTGGACCGGGTATGTGACATACTGGATTTTGCCAAGTCATTTGTCTGGCTCGCTCTGAGTTATCCAAGAGCCTGGCAACCCCACTCAGCAGTGGATGTACCCATAAGATTCAAGCCCTCACCAGAAAGAGAAACCATAGCTGCCAAGGAGATCATGTCACAGGTCACTATTGTTATTCTAGTCAACCCATGCCTATCCATTACTCAACATTTACTGCCAACTACCATAACATTAGTAGTTAAATAGGAAAAAAGTATATCTCCCAGCATTGGAATGTTTTAGTTAGGTGTCCTCTTGAAAGTTTTCTGGTGATAGCTAAGCATAAGCACAAAATGTGCATTCACCTGTGTTAGGACCACTACATCCCTAAGCTGATGAAAACCTTTGCAGAGAGTCACCTAGAGGTGTAGCTGAGCAATGGGAAGAGAAGGTAAAATAGTATACTTCTCAATCATCACCACCTACAGTGGTGACTCTTGCAGTTAGTGACACTATTACTAGCAAAGAGAGCCAGTAGACTAAGGCCTTACTACCAATTGCAAAACCATCAGTATCAACTGCGAGGACCTTTATAATCAATGAGGGTGTATACACTTTAACAGTTAAACCAGTGATACCACCAACCACAGGAACTCAGAAGGAACATTCTCGTCAATGTCAATCAAGCCACCACCAAAAAGGCCTCCAGAAATCACCAAGTGGCAGCTAAGAGTAACATTCTCAACCACTCCACCAACAAACATTACGGACCACCTAACACACCGAAAAATCCACCATCAAAGCAGAATTCCCAAGGAATGGCTGAAAAGTAGATAGAAGCCTAAGCACTTTACAATAGGTACCATCCAATACCGTCAAACAACCACTACAGCCAATCTACAGACGACCACAATCCTGAAGGATCTGCTGATTGGTCTGTAATGACGAAGTCTTGTGCTTAACATTGGGTAAATATTAATAATGCTGTATCGTTTTCTCTCTTTTTTATTTCCTTATTTTAACATGTTTAATTTGAATACGAGTGTTATTAATTTTTTAATTTAGATGAAGTGTTAGGTGAATTATATGTATCTCTACATTTTTAGATGTGTACTGTTTTCAATGTGTTTTATATAGTCAGTGTTGTAAGTCTACATGTAACATTGAATTTTTCTGTATTAATCTCTGTTTGGTGTGTTGGGTTGATATTTCAGTAACAAGACCTATTTATGTCATGTCAAATTTTCTCTTAGTGATGTGTTTTTATTACTTTTATTTAATGATCCTTTTTGTTATCTCTTTTCCTCGTGTAATGAGTTTATTTAGTATTTTTATTTACTAGTGTAAGGGATTTCATTTTAAGATTCTTTGATTATTATTCAATATAAAAGGTTGTATTCACATTGCTGATATCAACATTGAAAATATAGTCCAATAAAAGTAACAATCTGTCATTCCATAAAGTATATACACACACACTGTGTTTGTGTTTTAATAAAGATTGTGCATTTTGTATTTCACGTTTCGTTCAGTCTCATTGTTCCATTTAACATCATGGCTCAGTTATTCAGAGAATTTATATTTTTGAGCTCCTTACGAAAGGTCATTCAATTGTTAAAAATGACTCGAAGGAGACTACTAGGATAATACTAGGACAAGTTAAGATCTCTTAGATTATTTTCTCTTGAAAAAAAAAGAAGAGTTAGAGGGGAGCTGATTGAACTGATTATTAAAAGAATTTATAGTATCGATGCATCATCTTTTGTCATAAGAAATTATAAGAATGGTAGGACAATGAGGCACAGTTGGAAGTTTGGGCAGGATAGGAGTCATCTTCATCTTAGACAATTTTGCTCATCTAACAGGGTGGTTAACTTTTGGAGTAGGTTGCATCTAAATGCAGCTTTAAGGAATGCTCGATAAATACTTTAATGCTCAAGGGTGGATTTGATTGTAGTTTTTTTAAGTGGATGCAACAGCCTCGATGAACCAACAGTCCCCTTGTTGTAGCTTAAATGCTATGTTGTGTTAAAGTTTTTCCACGATGTTGACGTGCTTAATCTTATCAGTTTTTAATTCAGAAACTTGTGCATTTCGTTACACTACTTTGATGATTTATTCCACCTAGTTTCCATTCCTTTGTTAGCAGCCCCATGGTGACTGAGCGACTTAAACCTAGACTGCTGCTGATTCATAGTGTGGAGAATCCCATATATAGCCTAAAGGCTTAACTTGCACCTCTTCTTCTCCTTAGATTTTTGCCTTTAGGAGGGTCCCCGTTCTTCACACATATTTCCCTCCTCCAATCATCTCTGTTTATTTTTAGGTCTTCTGCAATTCCTTTCTCGTTCATGTCTATTTAATCCCATTATTCTAATGCTTTACTGGCCTTCCCTGTCTTCTCTTGTCAGCTATTGGCAGATCTAATGCTCTCCTTACTGCTTGTTCTTCCTTTCTCTTCACATAACCGAACTATCTTAGCCTCGCTTCTCTTGCCTTTTACTCGAATCCACAGACTCCTGCCATTTCCTTATTCGTTCTCTTTCAGCGACACTCCCTACAGCCATCTCAGCATTCTTATTTCTGTTTTTATCAACAAGCCTCCTTCTTTCTCCTTCAGGATCCAGGTCTTATACAACACTTTGGCTTTAAGTGTCCTTGATTAACTTTTTTTTTTGTAACAGATTACTGTGACCACTTTTCCATTTCTTCCAACCTGCCTGAAATGTATCTCTCACAGTTTTTTCACTTTAGATTGTAATTTTATAGCTACCAAGTGATTATTCCCCATATTTGTTTTTCAAAGTTTTTACTCTCAGTTTATAAGCCCTGATGCAACTCTTCTACTTCTCAACCGGGCTTAAATTGTATCATTAATACAAATAGATGTAACGTTTAGGCAATGTATTTCATATGTTTTGTGCTTTGTGACTATTTTAATAGAATAGATACATTTATCGCCTGGCTCAGTTCATTAATGTTCCTTTATATTTGCCTTTTTTCCCTTGTCTTTTCAATATATATTATATATATATATATCGTTAATTATTTAATTTACTTGGATAATAGCATCACATGATTCCAGAAAAACATTGGTACTGAGAGTAGTAATAAGTGATGCAACATGAAATTGACCTTACACGATCTTCGTCAAAATGGAGGAATACGCACGTGAACCATGGTGAGAGTTAAAATATTATTTCTGTTGTGTATTTTTTTACGTAATATTAATTAGTGGAGATTTGTTAATGTGTTTCTTTGTTGTGCTGTTCAGTTTACTTTGAACTGATCTGGTTTCTAGTTGTCAAGTCACAAAATATTTTTTTTTCTTGCACCGGTCTCTGCTAAGTTAGTCTTATTCATTATAGTTATTCTTAACTTCTTGAGCTAACTTAAGTTAAGGCGTTACGTAATTGCAAGATTGTAGAATTTATTGATGGTTTTTAAATCAGTAAGTGTCCGAGATATATAGGAACCTATGTCTGTAAAGAAGATTGTTGTAAGAAGTTTCTATCAGTTCATTTTCTTGTCCTGTACATTAGATAGAAATTGTAATAGAAATTAGAATGCGCGTTTATCTAGTTGACATAACAAACTTTTTAATTTTAGTGTTATGGATTGAACTGTTACAAACTATTAAAACCAAAGCTAATGTAGTATTTCTTCAACATTATATAATTTTAATATAAATTAATTGTTGTTTGTTTATGATAAAACTCAAGTTAAAATATGTTGCTATTTTACTGAATATACTGTTCCGTTTTTGTAATAATATTAAAGTTACAATAAATATTATAACACTGCTTTTTAGTATTACTGAATAATATGTTTTGTGTTACTTGTGACAATACCCATGGTACAATAAATATAACAGCAGTTGCATTACCACAAACACTTGAGTTCTGAAAGTAAAATAAAAATCAATTGGGCAGAATGCTATGATAAAATATTAACTAATATGCATGTTGACTTGTTCCAGACTGGGGAAGTTTCACTTGTATCCATCTACTTTTTCATTTTGATAGTGTTACTTGACCAGTAACATAAAGCTTAGAACCGACTTACTAAATACTTAAAATAAGTTAAATAATTTCTAGTTTTGGTGTAAAGAGAATCATATAGTTTTAGTATTTTATCATTTTTTATTTTGTTAAATGTCCAAAATTTTGTTTTGAAAACATGTATAAAAAAATACTTTCTTTCAATTTAGAACTTCAGGTTTTTAAATGTTGATAAAAGTTCCATACTCACATTTTCAACTCACAAAAAAGAAGCTATTTAATTGCACAACACAACAGAGACTTTTTGATTCTTTCAATGAAAGGTTCCAATGTTGAACATTTATAGATGTGCTATCAAATATGTAGACGAGTCCAAGCTCCGATTTTAAATAAGCATAATAACTTCATTTGGTGCTTTTTAAAGTGCATAATGATATTATGTTACTGTTAAACTTTAGCTTTTTCATTTATTTTTTTATAATTGGTTTTTGATTGAATATTACTGAAAATAGAAATTCAAGATTATACAGTGTTGCTAATTTTGTACTTTAGTTAAGAGAATTTTGTTTTATGTTAATCATGATAGAATTTCTCTGACTGATACATTCCAAAAATATGACAATGCCAAGTAAAAAAAAATACATGTTTAGTGTCCCTGCCTGTTTCCTTTTTTGCAGCTGCCTCATCCCACTTTTTTTTTGGAGAAAATTTGAAGCTTCATAAAACATTGTGTAATTTTCTATGCACACTGAAGAAAGTACTAACAGGAGTTGTAATATTCCGTGCACACTGAAGAAAGTACTAACAGGAGTTGTAATATTCTGTGCACACTGAAGAAAGTACTAACAGGAGTTGTAATATCCTGTGCAAACTGAAGAAAGTACTAACAGGAGTTGTAATATTCTGTGCACACTGAAGAAAGTACTAACAGGAGTTGTAATACTGTATATATACACTGAAAAAAGTACTAACAGGAGTTGTAATATTTTATATACACTGAAGAAAGTACTAACAGGAGTTGTAATATTCTATATACATTGAAGTAAACATTCTATATTATTCTTATGTACACTAAAAAACGAAATAGTAAGATTATTTGATTTATAAGCATTTATAGAACTACTTATCTTTTTTTAAAATAGAAATTCAGTTTTTATAGGAAAGTTAGGTTTATCATTACATAGCCAAGTGTAAATATTTGATTAGCATTATTAGGTAATAATGTTTTTATGCCTAGCATCTAAGTTGAAACCCAGTATAAACTGTGATTTGTATACAAAAAAGATATATGTACTGCTCAAGCAGTGTGAACTATGAAACAACTTTTGCACACGTTTGGTTAGATACAGTATAAACCTAAACGTACAACACAGTCAGCAGTAAAGGTTTTATAATAGGGCTTTGATCTATATACACTAACAAAAATAATAAAGCCTAGTTGTTGCATACCTACTTAAACTTTTTTGTGGATTTATCTTGAGAGGTAATGATACCACAGATTCAATGAAAGAATTAATATTCAGTGAAACAAACATATTAAATAGAATAACCTTGTATTTTACTGAAAAAGCTCTTGGTTGTTAGTAACTCTCACTTTTAAATATACAGAATATACCAAGGTTATCAAGCTTAAGTGAGATTACTTTTGATATTTGGAATTACAGATTCTGCTTTATTATTCAAAATTGATAATGGGCTTATTAAGAAGAATATTTTGGGGGAGGGATCCTTTGATGCAAGCATGAACTTAATCATAATTTTGTAGCTTAATTCGTAACTGATAGCTAATAGTAATAATTAAATATAAAGTTGATTTATTCATTTAAAGCTACTAATAGAGGTTGGTTTGTAGGTCAGTAATCTTTTATGTGTATGATTAAATTCATACTATTATAAACTGTTGTGCAAAACTAGGAAAGCTTATTATTGGGCTTGAGAGACCTCGTTCATGAATATTTAATGTAAGTCTATTGCATTGTATTATATGAAGTTCTGGTATAATAAAATACCTTCAAACATAGTTTCAAGCAAAGTATTTTCTTAAGCTTCTTGCTCCAATGCCTTATTCCCATGTGGTTTTTCCATTATTTAATGCTTTTTCAAAATAATTGAAATAGTTGAAAGAGAGAAATTTATTGGCTGATATTACAGAAAAGATATTCTGTTAAAGTTAATTGTTTTGATGATGATGTTATATTTAAAAGAAAGTGTGAAAAAGTTGGTAAAAAGTTTTTTTGTTTTAGTCCATGGAGAATTGTTGATGACTGTGGTGGAGCTTTCACAATGGGAGCCATAGGTGGTGCTGTTTTTCAGAGCATAAAAGGGTTTAGAAATGCTCCTATAGTAAGTACATTTATTTGTATACATTAATTTCAATTTATGTGACTACCAAGTGCAAACGTTTTAGAACCTTTCAAGTATGTAGTGATATGTTGAAAATAGGAATAAAGTGATGATTTAGTAGGTTGTACAGAAGCACATTTTAAATACAGCCATGTTAGTTTTGTTGTCGTAAGCATCTATACTACAAATTAATTTCCAAATATTCGTACTATCAGCATTCATTTTTTTTGCGAATTCCCACCTGCCCATGTACGTATATACACACACACAAACACCATGCAGTACAATGTATGGTAATGTAACTGAGCTATATGCACTGTACTGTGTTACCACACATAGCCATTCAAGCTCAGTTGAACTCTAATCAAAATTTACTTGACTAGAACAGCATTATTAGCCAATCACAAAAGCAAACTTTTCCTAATGTTTTCAGCCCCGTTTAGTGGATTGTATCAACATTTCTCTTGTTCAAAGTAAAATCTTTTTTAAACAAAAAAAGGAACTGAAAGATATTTTTTCAAATTTTTGAGTTCATAGTTAGGGAATTTACCGATGATTTGGAACGAGGATTGGAGTCAACATTACATGTGCAATGTGGACATGGATAAGCGTATAGTAAACTGCAATGCTGTTTTGAGTAAGGGTCTGTTCCAGGGCACTAGTCATCTCTCGGACAACAAGGGGTTTAAGTTAGTCATCTGAGAAAGTTTTTAGTTGTCTTTGAAGATCACATGACCATTAAAATTGGGTGATGTTAATAATGAAGTCATATCAAACTGGACCCTTGCTACTAGTGGAGTGCCTCAAGGGTCAGTGCTTGGGTCTTTGCCTTTTTTTTTTTTACCTTAATGATATTGATAGGGCATAATTAGTAAATTAGTAAAGTTTGCAGATGATATTAATCTTTTGGAATAATAAGGTTAGAGCTGGGCAATTAATGGAAGTTTTAATTGGTAAATCAACCAGCTCATTAACAAATATTACATTATTAAGTTACAAAAAGAAAAATAACAAACAAGTGTTTTTTGTATTTATTTTCAGTATGAGAACTATAGGGTATACAAATTTGTACTAATTTTCAAAAGGGGTACACCACCTTCAAAAGATTTAGAACCACTGCATTATTTTAAGAGGATATTAATCTTCCTACTTCCAGGTGGTTTTGGTTTAATTTAAAATTTTTTAAATTATCCTTCTTGTCATATGATAGACATCTTCTAGTAGTTGCCATTGACATATTTTGTGAAAAAAATTATGGCAAAAACTTTTGTCACAATGTCTTTCAAAACTCACTGTTTTCTACTTTGCAAGTTACTAATGTTGACTTGAGATAACCACATGGTCAACATTTTGTTTTGATTTTTTAATTCGTGCAGTAATCCATCATTCATCTTGTGTAAATCAAATAAATTGAAAAACAGTGAAAACATGTTTTACCATCACTGATAACAGTAATAATGTTTTTATTTAAAACATATGTTTAGAATTAAGTAACCAATAACCCAATATATTTATGTACATTTTTAAATAGGGTGAGCATAAAAATACTCCATAAATAGAAACTTGAGTCATCAGAAACTTTTGCTGTTATCTATTGTACTCACTAAAGTTAACTAAGCAGATATGATTTTATTTGGTGAACATAATAAAAACCCTCATGTTTACAACCATTGTCTAAAAGAAAATCTAGTATATCTAGTAAAAACACTAATTTTAAAGAAAGAACCAAACATCAACAAATGTAAAATCAAAGTAGTCATCTCAATTGAACAACACAACCCTTCTGATAAACCAGCATTCTGGGCTGTTAAAATATGATTACTAAGTCATTAAATGAACTCCAGTTCTGATTTGTTTGGATTTTGCTGTATATATAGAGCTACCTCCGATAACTTCCATTAGAACACAAATTCAGAAAAGTAAGTAATGTTATAAATCTAATGCATACACAGTGTGGAAAATTAAATTTATAGTTTATATAATAGAAATCAGTAAAGTTACACAAATTATAAATTACATTGTAATGCAATGTAAAATAAATTTTACACATTCTTCAACATAAAAAAAATAAACAATAAATAACACAATGTAAAAAATAAATAAATATACACTTTATTTAACTCTAAAGTCGTCCAAGAGTTGGTGGTGGGTGCTGCTAACCAGTTGCTTCTCCTCTAGTCAGCAGTTTAAAATAAATGAGTGGCAGATAACTTTTGTAGCTTTGCCATAACAAAAAAAAAAAAGAAGAACAGGGTCAGCAAATTTAGTAGCAACAGAAATCACACCCAAGACCCTGGAATTATGAGAATGTGTTGGCTTGAAGCTGAACAAACTTGAAGTAAAACAACTTTATAATGCTAAAAAATTGGGTTTTGATACCTGTGATGGATAGAGCGCAGTTAGCCCATTATGTAGCTTTGTGCTTAACAACAAATAAGCATAATGGCAGCAATTTGATTAATTGGATGGTTGGAAAAATTAAAAGTTGTAACAGTAGGAAACTCTGATTCTGATTATTTCATGACACTTAATTGATAAAGCTGAACAAAATTGAATTAATCAAAAATCATTATGGAAACATTTCAGTAACTGGATAGTTGGAATAATCAAAAACAGTGATAGCTGGAAACCCTAATTTTGATTGGTTTATTTTGCCTGTGACAGTTGATTAATCATAATTTCAATTATTCAAATGTTGGAATAATCAGAAACACTAGTTTTGATCAGTTGATTACTTTGTGATATTAATGAATTTAATTATAATTTTGATTAATCAGTGATGTGAGACTAATTGATGTAAACTGGTAATTGTTTGAATCACTCAGCTCTGACAAAGGTACTACAGATTGATATATCAGTTGGTTAATAAAACAGATATTTGAAAAATAACCTTTAATTATAGTATGTACAAGTTTATGTATTTTGGTTATAATGTGGATCATATGTTTAATATTATAGCTGGGTGATGAACTCAATTGACTGATTTATATTACAATTTACATATAATTTTAAAATTGTATTGCTTTATTATGTTCTTAAAATAGCTTACTTGTTTCACCTATATATTTATGATGCTACTTTACACATTTCTATAGGTTTGCAGAAGATTGAAGGGTATGCTCCATATAAATAAGTTTTCAAGAGATGTTGATCTGTTTATAGGGGTCAACAGAAGACTGAAATGTATGCTCTGTGTTTTAAATAAGTAATGATGATCTGTTTCTAGGTGTCAACAAAAGATTCATATGTATGCTCTATGTCATAAATAAAATGTAAAGTAATGCTGATCTGTTTGTAGGGAATCAACAGAAGACTACTAGGCAGTCTTGCAGCTGTGAAGGAGAGAGCCCCAGTTGTTGGTGGTAAGTTTTATCTTCTGTCATTTTTCCTTAAGTATATTTCTAAGTGTTTGAAACATGTTAAAAAGCACTGATAAATTTAAAGTTACAGGAAGAAAATATAAAAAATTATAGGTGGATTTTGTGAACTTTTGCATGAAGATAAAAGATGTTATATAATAAAATCAAGGAACAACATTGAAGATTCATAAAATATATATCTATGTCTTGCAGCTTGATTGATCTAATCAAATCACACTAAATAACGGTAATACATGAATCGATAGTCTTGCAGCTGTATTGATCAAATCAAATCACTAAATATTGGTAATACATGAAACGATAGTCTTGCAGCTGTATTGATCTAATCAAAACACTAAATATTAGTAACACATGAAACGATAGTCTTGCAGCTGTATTGATCTAAATAAATCACTAAATATTGGTAACACATGAAACGATAGTCTTGCAGCTGTATTGATCTAATTAAATCACTAAATATTGGTAATACATGAAACGATAGTCTTGCAGCTGTATTGATCTAATCAAAACACTAAATATTAGTAATACATGAAACGATAGTCTTGCAGCTGTATTTATCTAATTAAATCACTAAATGTTGGTAACACATGAAATGATGAAGTCTTGCAGCTTTATCAGTTTTAGGGTTCTTTTTTTTTTATAAAAGCAACAGAATAAATATAATCAATTTTCATAGTGTGATTAGAAAGG